GACACTTGTCCAAAGGTAGGCAAAAGAGTATACTTAGAGATCTTCCGCGCGACAGGCTTGATTTCCCAGAAGTCCTTAAGCTCGCGATAAAGGCAAAGGCAGACGATTACAAGGACTTGGTGTGGAGGGGGATGAGGAGACGTGACTTCTCTCTCTACAAGGAGTATGCCACTGATAGATGTCCTGATTTAAAGGACTATCCCTGGTCGGAGAAGAATGAGGCCGTGGCTGAGGAAGTGAAGGAGATACGAGACATGGTGAAGGGATTGACGAGACAGGTTACAGAGATTGTAACCACTACAGGGGCCACGGCCTACCGGGACAAACCTGGAGGGCCCTATTCACTTCGCTGGGACCGTAGGAACAACGATTCCTGGAGGAGTGTCGAGGATAGAAATCCTCGGATGCTGACTGATTATCGTACGAGGGGAAGAGAGAGAGACGATGAGCCATGGCGACGTAGAGACAATGAGATAGACCGGGACCGCATAGATCGCGTGCCGTTTGTGCGAGCAAGGAGGCTGGATGATTACCCGCGAAGCCCTCGCTATGAGGCCGATCGGGGTAGAGGCGACTCCCGCGGCCGATGGGAGACAGATCAGGGCCGACGAGATGGATGTAGGGACGACAGATATGAGAGATCGGACCGAGATGGATATAGGGACGACAGATACGAGAGGTCGGGTCGAGATGACTACAGAGGAAGTAGATATGAAAGAGGAGATCAGGACTGGGAACGACAAGATGGGTCGCGCGGACGGTTTGAGCGCGGGGGAGATGCGAGAGAGCAGCGCGACGAGTCGCGGGGGTGGTACAACCTAGGGGACCGACGCGATGAGTCACGAGGACGATATGACTCGGGGGACCGCCGGAATGATTCGCGGGGGCGGTATGAGCAAGGAGGGCCTGGAGGAGATCGGCGCAACGATTTGCGCGGTCGGAATGAGAGAGGGGGATATGGCGTCTCGTCAGAACCATATCCCAAGTCGCCTGACCCCAAGGCGGCCAGGAGTTCGATCTCTCGAGGCGCATACGACAGGGCATCTACTCCCAGGAACTCATGCGTCTACTGTAGAGGAGAAGATCATATCAAGAGGGATTGCCCGAACCTCAGACGGGCAATAGATGAGGGACTTGTCGTACTTGACGACCGCAAGTACGTGAAGTGAGCACATGATCTGGGAGATGTATCGATGTTCCCTTCGATGAAGGAGAATGTCGAAGCAAGGAGACTAAAGACGAGTAAAGGAATGAAGCCGGTCAGGAGCCAGAGCATCAAGATAACCTTTGAGGGGGATATCGCGACCACACCCATAAGGGTGGCAGCCACCAAATCGGCAAGAGGATCTACATTGAAGAAGACTGGCACGGATTACATGATGGCGGAGAAGGACGGGCAGCGGGTCGATGGAGAGGAGGTTATCCTTTCACCGCGAAAGCGGGGAGTGAAGAAGTTCTTAATGAAGAGTTCGCTGGACGAGATTGACACGGTCGAGCCATTGAGGCGGGCCCTTCGGCAACCCATGCAGTGCTCTATTCTGGAGTACCTGGCGGCATCGAAGCCGGCTCTTAATGAATTACAGATGATTACGCGGAAGACTCGCATACCTCGACCAGAGGAGGGTCAGGGGGCCCCTAAGGCGGAAGCTTCTACAGTAGCAGTAACGGAGGTGACCGCCAGAGCGGATCGCATGGCGACAGTCCTTCTCGATGGTATGGAAGGTGTGCCTCCAGACAAGTTTTATATACTTGGTAGCGGGGCCGTGGAGATGATTATAAACGATGGAGCAGTACTCGATGCTGTGATCGATAACGACAGTGAGGCTGTCATCATAGACGAGGACCTGGCAGTACAGGTTGGACTGGACCTCGATAGGTCATACCTATTCGAGATAGAGATGGCTGATGGGAGAAAGAAACAGATCACTGGGGTTTGTCACAAGGCAGCCATAGAGGTCCAAGGGGTACGAGTGACCGTGCCTGTTTTTGCGGTCAAGAACTGCAGCTCCAACCTGCTCTTGGGTCGAACGTGGCTGAGCCACGTGCATGCGGTGACGATAGAGCGACCTGATGGGAGCCAAAAATTGTCCATTAGGAAGCCAGAAGGGACGCGGGTAATGATTGAGACAGTGGAGCCTCGGGACCCGAGGAACAGAGCAGCTCTCGCTGTGGGTGCAAGACCCAGTGATCAGATTAAGTCGTTACCTATCTCCGGCCGCGCCGTGCGATTTTGCGAGAAGAGATATGGACCACTGCTCACAGAGGAAGAAGGACGGATCGTGGAGGTGGAAGATTTAGAGAGTCGGCTAATAATGGACGGCAACTCGTACCCAAAGGAAAAAGATGAGGAATTTGGCGGTGTGGTATCCGTGTCTTTTTTAAGGGCACGGCCCCCTATGGGGGGCTACTCAAGCGACATGAGCGAGTAGCTCAAAAAGTTAAGCCAGCGGCGGTGGGCCGCGAGCGATCGGCACTGGAAGCGGTATCAGAAGAAGAGATCGCGAAAGAAATCAAAGAAAGAAAGAAAAAGGAGCCACAACACCTAACGGAAGAGAGGATAGCAGGGATGGACATCGGAGAYGGAAATCTGACCCCACAGGAGCGAGGACGTGTGATAGAAATTATGAAGACATGAGATAACGCAATAGCTTTCAGCGACGCGGAGCGCGGTAGGATTGACCTTGATACGCTAAGCCGGCGAGGATTTATACAATTCCACATGTTCCTTGGAATGACGCAAGATGGAAATACGCCCAGAAGGAGAAGGAAAAAGTTATCGTTTTCCTGAAAGAAAAGATGGTTTCCCACGTTGCGGAGCCGTCTGATAGCGCTTATGCTAATCGATGGTTCTTCCTACGAAAGCCGAATGGCAAGATCCGATGGATCCAGGACTTTCAGAAGGTCAACGCGGTGACGATACGAGACGTGGGCTCCGTGCCACACGCCGATTTACTAGCAGAAGGCGCAACAGGTAGGTCGATCTATTCGGTCTGTGATCTGTTCTCAGGCTATGATGAGGTACCGCTTGACCCTAGGGACAGGCACCTCACGGCTATGCATACGCCATTGGGACTAATTCAAATGATGGTTGTCCCAATGGGTTGGACGAATGGGGTAGCCGTTTTTCAGAGAGCCATGGTAGTCGTCCTCAAGGACTTCATCCCTGATAAGGTTGAAGTTTTTCTGGATGACTTTCCTATAAAAGGGCCAGTAAACAGGGATGAGACAGAAGTTGTACCTKGAGTTAGAAGATTCGTCGAGCAGCACCTAACAAATATTTGCGCGGTACTCGAGCAGCTGGACGATGCGAATTTAACAGTCAGCGGAACAAAGAGCCGATGGGCCGTCTCGACTATTAAGATCTTGGGTTTTATTTGTGACTCGAGAGGACGCCGAGCAGATCCAGCGAAGTTAGACAAACTTCTGAACTGACCCTCACCGTTACATAGCCCAGCCGAGGTCCGACAGTTTCTAGGAGTGGTCGGTTACTGGCGTATATTCATACGGGGGTATGCGGAGAAGGCTGAGCCATTGAGGTTACTCCTTCGAAAGACTGAAAACTTCTATTGGAATTCTTCGCAGAAACTTGCTATGCAAGAACTTAAAGACGAATTTAAGGAAGGAGGACGCGTGTTGGGTGTGCCATTCTTTGACGATGAGACCGAGAGACCCTTCATA